GGTTTGGGTTATGGGTCCGAGAGGGTTTTTTGTTTGTCTGGATGTGAAACATGTGCCGACCAATAAAAGGAATTCTTGTTTCCTTCCCTTACTGATATGGGATTATTAGGAGATAAGATGAAATATACCTTTATTAATTCTCCCGTTGGAGAAATTCAAGCTGGTTCATGGTTGATGGGATGTTCTCTACGTTACAACTTATTTAGATAAAGTGGTTCCAGCTCCCAAACTCGGCTAATGAGACCTGAACACCCCGCGAGGTAAAGATCGACCCAGATACAGAACTTTAGGATCCGCTGGGACCAGTTTTAAGCGTTCGGAGTTACAAGCTTTGGATTTTGTGGTCTAATTAAGGATTTGTTGGAAATGTTCTGCAACTACAGTCGCTGGGAGCTGACAGTCTGAATCACAGCCAGTGAATTGTGACATGGGGACCGGGTCAGGACCCCACTGTATGGTGGTCCTGAAACATACCGTAACACAGAGCCGGGACTGTTTCTGGAAACGGTCCTGCAGTAACAAAAGGGGACGTTTACAGTCCACCGACCACTTTCAGGGTCCTAATGAGGTCGAGGGGAGTCCCTACAACCACAACACATTCATAAGTCCAAGGATCCTGGAGGAGGAGCTGAGAGTCCTTGAGGTTAGAAGGATTTTTAAGGAGGTTCTTTGGGGGAAGTTTAAGGGATGTGATTGTCCCAGAATGCATTTCTCTAAAGACATGAAGTGCATGCAGCTCCACAAACAACACAAACAATCAATAAACTCACTGAAAAGAGGCGGAACGCTCACACCGTGGCGCTCTGAGCTAAATGCTAGCATCAGCCTGATAACATGCTAAAGTGTAGCAGATATAATGTTTAGCATGTTAGCATTATGGGGACGAAAGAAAATAAACTATCAATGATCATTTTGTGACGTATTGAATTCCTTAAAATCACCACTAAACTGTTCTTAATCAGATTATATGGACACATCGGTTAGCACACTGTAAATAAAAGACCAACCTTACAAAATAACAGTCCAAACTTAAATAAAAATAAAAATAAATA